GTCTTCCTGATGTCCCCTGGCCTCTCCAGCTTCTTTCTTCATGATATGAATCCGTGATGTGGGGACTGTCCCCCACCATGAAAGATTCATTTCTGTGTGTGTGTGTGTGTGTGTGCGCGCGCGCGTGCACTTGTCTGTGTAGGTGTGCATGCTCCTGTGGGTCAACATGTGTTCTGGTGAGTGAGGAGGTCAGAGGTCAGCCTCAGGTGTCATCCCCAGGAGCCTATTACTTTTGAAAACAGGACTTTCCATTGACCTAGGGTTCATTGATTTGGCTAGACTGGCTGGCCAGTGAACCCCAAGATCTACCCATCTCCACCTTCCCAGATCTTGGACGACAAGTGCACACCATCACATCCAGAACTTTCCATAGGTTCTAGGGTCCAGCTCAGGACCTCACGCTTGTGTGTAAACACTTCACTGACTGACCCATCTCCCTAACCCATGAACATTCATTTCTTTAACCACTGACTCTTGTACAGTGACCTTATAAAGAAGTAATGGACAGACTCGACAGGTACACAGTATTACATTTTGGCTTCTTTTTGCCCTTTTTGGTTTGTAGAAAATAATGCTTCCTGTAACTTACTATGAAGGAAATCTAGAGAAGAGTTTTTTCCTTCTTTTGACCCAAAGCTTATTCAGTCCTTATTATTCTGGGTTGGTTAGTGCAAGAATCCAGGCTGGCCAGCGGACGAGTCTGGGCTGGCCAGTGGATGAGTCTGGGCTGGCTAGCAGTTGAGTCTGGGCTAGGCAGTGGATGAGTCTGGGCTGGCCAGCGGATGAGTCAAGAAATTGCTGAAATGTGATTTTCCAGGAGGAAGTTATTATTCTACAACACAAAAGCACACTGCGTGTGTGTGTGTGCTTTGTTTCTGTGCTGTGGGATCTCCCTAATGCATGGCTCTCTTCCCTTCCTTATAGTGCTCTCCTAGCGCCCTAGTTGCATGCATCTTCCTGACTTGAGATGTCATGATATCCACCCCCCATTCTTAGCCTGGGCTAGACTGCTGCTGTTCCGTGATTGCTAAATGGGCGTGATCTCTTATGGGTGGTGGCAGCCCTGTGTCAAGGACAGGTCTTACACGTGAATCAGAAAAGGCAATCTTTACTGTAGTGTGAGTGGCCTACCTGGTGTTCTGAATAGGTCTGGGTTTGGACAGTGTGGGCATTCTCTCATTTGTTTGCTCGGCACCTTGAGAGGTACACAAGGTTTCTCAGTGGGATAACCTGACTAAGCCTGAGTTAGACTGCTGTAGGGGTTTTAGGAAGGCGCAAGGCAGCTGCATGAAAAGGTGCAGCATCAAGCTGGGAAGCAGGGAAGGAGCAAAGGGCCCCACCAACATTCCACCTGCCCAACCTATCACCTGACGTGAATTAGAATTTAAGAAGCTGTCACACCCCCAGCTGCTACTGTTGAGAGAATGAAGCAAGCCAGAACTCTGCATTGAAAGTACACTGCTTATGCTCAGGAAGAACTCAAGGCAAGGGCACCAACTCTATCCTACTGAAGGAGACAGCAATGAGAGGCAGGAGAAGCTGGCGCTGGTGACAGAAGTGACTGAGATCATTGGCACAAATGGAGTCAAAGCAAATCAGCCATGCTTAAAACAACCAATGCCAGCGAGCAGTTCCCCTGACATCCAGAGGGAACTCTGCTCCCACCACACTCTGAGGAAGCACTCTGTCCTCCGGACTCTGTGGATGGCGACATGCTTGGGTAAGAAACACTCTTAGGACTTAGAGAAGTTTGTTTCTAACCTGGAAAGGGCAACTGATAACTTCATCCATATCTTTCTTTGTTACCTGTTCCAAATTGCTTGTTCTCTGACCAAAACAGTCATTTGGGATCGATCAAGAGAAGAGTAAATGGTGAAGTTTTTTACATTTGGGAATTCTCTAGAGAGATTTCTCAGCACTTCAGAGCACCGGCTGCTCTTCCAGAGGACCCAGGTCCGTTCTCCGCACCCACATGGTGGCTCACACCGCATATAACTTCAGTTCCAAGGGATCTGATGCCTTCTTACCTCTGACGGTAACAGGCATGCATGTGGTACACATACACACATGCAGGCAAAACACTCACACACATGAAGTAAAATAAATGAATCTAATCTTTCAATTCTGAGTGATCTACAGCTCAAGGAATAAATTTCAACAGAACTTATAACATATATTGAACTGAACGGAAATGAAGGCACGAACACAAAAACTGTTAGATTGTAGCTAAAGCAATAAGATAAGAAAAGCGCGGAGCACTGCATGCCTGCATTAGACAAGGAGGAAGTTCCCATACCAACAAAGTAGGTGGCTCACAAAAGGAAAATAGAAAGAAAAACGTGAGAAGGAAAACACCGACATGACCTGACCAGAGCAGAAGCAGGGGAATGGGAAGAGCAGGAAATCAATAGTATTTAAAACAGAGGCTGGAAGAAAAAAACCACCACTGGAACACTAAAATTCTCCGCTGACAAGATCAAGAAAAATGGCAGAGTTTCCTAATAATGCTCTCCTAATAAGAAATTACTCTCCCTGCATTATTAATGCCTAGAAAACAGCAGTGCGTGTTACTACATATTCTGCAGACATCAAAAAGCAATCACGATTCCGTGACACAAATTTGACAACTTGATGAAATGGAGCAATTCAGAAACACCAACGAGCATGGCGCTGAGAGGTAAACAGTCGCCCCACAATGATTAAAGCAATGCAGTTTCTATTTGAAAACCCCTTCCGCAGCTGCCTGCAGGCCCGCATTCCCGCACTTAAGAGTTCACAACGGTACAAGATGCCACCCGGAAAGGAGGGGACTCTCTTGTTTAACGGTCAACAGTGCCTTGACCTCTGAGCCAAACAGAGCCCCAAAAAAAGAAAACTGCAGTCTAAAGACCACTTACAGATGTAGGCGTAAATAAAGAGCATTAATAAAATGCAGGACAAAGTACAATATAGGTTTCCTTCACACACACACACATATATATGTATATCCATAAATTGTACAAACATATGTTCAGGTGAAATCCATTCCAGGGCTGAGAGACTGGTTCAATATTTGAGGATCACATGGATGAGGGAGGACCTCGTGGGTATGCCCCCCTTCCGGAGGAGCCATAATGGTTGTGGTTGCTGGGGGAGAAGGAGTCCTATTTCTCGGTGGTGTGGCTACTGGCACTTTCCGTCACCCTAGTAAATTAGTCTACCCATGTTCATCAGGCCACCCTAATTAAACAGGGCCGAAGAAGAAAAGGCGCGAGAGTTAAGGGCTTGGCAAGGAGGAATAATCTGGTCAGAGGGAAAGAGGGGAGGAGATGGTAGAAAATTGTGGGGCGGGGGTGGGGGGCTTCCCAGCAGGCAGAGGAAAGCCAACCCGGGTCCATGGGCCCAGGCTGGTGGGAAGACATCCAGTTTCTAATGGCTCCAGACAAGTGGCCGTCCCCATTTTAAGTAAATAAGGGCCAGAGAATTGGGAGTTAGAGAAGTGAATGGCTCATCCGCCATGGAAAGACACATAAGGGAGAAAGGTAGAAAGAGAGGATTGGGCAGAGGTTGGAGGCCAGCTTGCCACCTGGGTCCGTGGTGACAATGGTGAGTGTGGACTAAGGAGGGGGATCTGCTTGTCCCCGGAGACCGTGGCGATGTCTGGATCAGGTGGCATTCGTGGGTCTTTGGTACTACAGTAGCCAGGGTCTGTGCTGACGTCCAGTGTTCCTGCTGCCTTTGAAGGCCATGCAGACACACAAGATCAAGGGTCAAGTTAGTGTCCCAGGGCCATACTGCCACCGGGAGCATAAGTGACATCCAGACCCAACTCCCACTAAGGACCTTGCTGGGATTCATGGTCCGACTGCAGTTGGGGTCTGACCTTTAGTCCAGGTCCTGTACTGCCAATAATGGCCAAAAAGAGGCCCAGGGCTGGGGCTACAACCTGCTGCTTAGGTGGCATCTGGCAACCACATGGTTGTTGGAACCATTCCCACCTGAGTGACCATTGAGCCAGGATGCTGTTGGGTACAAGCTGCTGCCAAGGGCTATGTCTGGGTCCATGATCCAGCCGCAGCTGGGGTCTGTGTTGATGTCTGTGGCTAGTAGCACCTCGGAAAACCTTAGCTAACAGGCAAGATGAAAACAGGGGATAATAGTCAGTCCCGCCCTTTACTGCCCTAGGAAAGCTGGCCTTACCTCTCACTGCCTGCTACAGCAAGAGAGCTGGCCCCTGCATTCAGGAGAGAGGGCTCCTATCCCTCACCACACACCAGGGTGAACCAGCCCTGAGAGCATGCATGAAGGGGAGCTGACTCAAACATCACACCCGAGGTGAGCGGCCCCAGTGATGCAATCTGACCTGCCTGGCTAACACCGAGGCCCACCCTAGCATCTACCCCATCTACGTCCTGCTGGAGCTCGTGAAGGTCTGGTCCTGCCGAATGATCCACGAGATCTCCAGGACACAGGATACCCCAGAAGAGCTCCGGTAACAACCCAGTGAAGATGGTATACCAAAAACTAGAGGCCTTGAACCAGACCAGTGACCCATTGCAATGGACAGTGGCCAGTCAAGCTGATTGACAGGTGTATACTATAGGACACCTATACTATAGAAGCCTCCAGTCCATCAGGACGGATGAGAGGAAGAAGAAAAGAAGCAGCAGAGATTTTGCTGTTTTGGGTGTGGTTTTTTTGTTGTTGTTCTGTTTTGGTTTAACGGCTTTTTCTTTTCTTTTGTTTTTGCTTTTGTTTGCTTGCTTGTTTTGTTTTGTTTTCTTTCATGAAGGGATGCAACAGGGACGAGTGGGGAATAAACAGGAGGTGAACAGAATTGGGGTGCATGATGTGAAACCCCCAAAGATTCAATAGAGAAGTTTAAAAATAAAGAAAAGAGGGAATTTTTATTTATTTTGAAATGTTCATAGGTATATACAATGTATCTCAACCACACCCATTCCTTGTGCCCGCCCCCCAGGATCCCCATCACCCCTCACTCCCTCTGTCATGTCCTCCTTTTGTAGTTTTGATTTATTTACTTACTTGATTTTTAACCCACTGAGTCTAATTGGTGTTGCCCATGGGCACACAGGTGTGTGGCCATCCACTGGGGCTTGGGGAACCTACCAGTGGCCACGCTCCTAAGGAAAAGTGACTCTTCCTCCTTCAACAGCTATCAACAGCCAATAGCGGCTCAGCTAGAGACCAGCCTCTGAAGAACCTCCAGTCTGTGCTGGAAGGTCAACTGGCTTGATCTCAGGTGGATCTTGTGTAGGTGACCACAGATACTATAAACTGGTGTGTGCACAGCCAGGCCATGCATGCCCTGAAGTCAGAGATTCACAGCACTTATAGAGGGAACTGTGGTTGAAGGACAGAATATAATAGATGGAATCAGAGGAAAATAAACTGTAAATCGATAAAATCAGTCAGTAACAGAGCTGGAGAGTGAGCGTCTCTGCTTCAAAGGTGTCTCTTAAACTAGGGTGTGGTATTTGGAGGGGACGCTTTGCTTATTTATGGGGGCTCTGGAGTAGATGTCCTCATCACGTCCCTCGTGTCCCTTGTGGTCCCTCCACGTGAGGACACGGCAAGAACACACCTCTCTAGCCCAGAAAGCAGCACTCCCCAGACTTCGATTCCACTGGCACGTCGACCTCGCTCTTCCAGAATCCTGAAAGTACAGTAGTATTTTCTTCATTGGATATTTCACTTACAGTATTCTGCAAAGCACCCTACATGAGCGAGACGATGATCCACCCTGGTAACAAGCTAAAGTATGAAGGTCACCAACTCAACAGAAAATCTCATAAAACTAGGAATCGGGGAGAGATACCCAAACTCAATAAATAACTTCATGCACACATACGGAAGGACACGCTTCATACTGAGATGCCGACTGCCTTTTCTCAGAGAATGGCGGGGGTGTTTGCTACTTCTTTAGTTCAAGGACTGAAAGTGGGGTTCAGTCGGCATACTCAGGGATGGAAAGAAAATGATAGACATACAGCTTGGAAAGGAAGGAGTAACATTGATACACACTCACTCATATTCACACACAAAAACACATATGCAGACATACACACACGTGTATATATATATTCATACACAGTCACACATATATATTTATACACACATACATATTCATAAATATACACACTCATACACACAGATACACACTCAAGCACACATACAGACTACATCACACACATGCACATGTATCTCACACATGTATACGTATCACACATGTCACACACACTTATACACATCAGACATGCTGCACGCACACACATACATCTCACGTATTCAAACTCATCACACATACTCACACATATACCCATATAGCACACATGCATCCACAACACACACATCACATACCACACACATGCATGCATATCACATGTGTATCACTCACACTCTCACACATATGCCCACACATCATAAGTGCACACATATCAAACAAGCACGCACATCACACATGCATGCACACAGAATCATACTCACAGCACTGACACACACAAAACCCTTGCACATTTTATAGTGTAGCAATCCCTAAAATCAAGAAAAAGAATCTCCCAAGGTTCAGAGGCTACTGCTGCCCAACAGCAAGGAAACAAGAGCAACCTAGATGCCCATCAGCCAAGAGGAGGTCGGTGAAAGGGGCAGGCACATGCAACAGCGGAATTTCACACAGTCAGAAAGAAAAGCGCAGTTGTAAAACTTACAAGAAAATAGATAGAACTAGAAGACACTATTCTAAGGGAGAGTGGCCAGGCTCAGAGAGACAAATGCTGTGTGTGCACTCTTGTCTGTAGATTCTCACCTCTAACTGGGAGAACACACATCCAGGTGGGAAAAAATATGGGTAAAGACCAAGAAACTAGAAAGAGACTCATGTGACTGGAAAAAAGAGGCTTCAAGGTAGGGAGAAAAGAACTGAGACCAAGTGGAAGGGGATATTGGGGGTGTAAGGGAAGAGTAGAGGAGAGAGAGATGGGAGATGAGAGAGAGCAGGGAAAGCCAACCAAAGTGAGATAATACAGGGATTCCATATTGTCTTAGTTAGGGCTTGTATTGCTGAGAAGAGACACATGGCACAGCAAGTCTTCTAAAAGGAAAACATTTAACTGGGGTGGCTTACATTTTCAGAGGTTTAGTCCATTATCATCACGGCAGCATGCAGACAGACACGGTGCTGGAGAAGGAGCTGAGAACCCAAACAACATCTTGACCTGAAGGCAACAGGAAGTGGCCTGTTTCACTAGTTATAGCTTGAGCAAAGGAGACCTCAAAGCCCTCCCCACAGTGACACACTTCCTTTGACAAGGCCACACCTATTCCAACAAGGCCACACCTCCTAATAGTGCTACTCCCTTTAGGGGCCATTTTCTTTCAAACTACCACATTCCACTCCCTAGTCCCCAAAGGCTTGCAGACATACTATAATGCAAAATTCTATTCAATCCAACTTCAAAAATCCCCATAGTCTATCACAGTCTCAAACTTACTTAAAAGCCTAAAATTCAAAGTCTCTTCTAAGATTCGTACAATCTCTTAACTGTAATCACCTGTAAAATCAAAATCAAAAAAGCTGATCACATACTTCCAAAATATAATGGCACTGGATATACATTAGTGTTCCAAAATATAGGGCAGGGAGTATAGTGAGGAATCCTAGACCAAACTGTCTTAGTGATTCTATCGCTGCAACAAAACACCATGACCTAAACAGGTTGGGGAGGAAAGGGTTAATTTGACTTAAATACTTACACAGCTCTGTTTATCAGTTGAGGAAGTCAGGACAGGAACTCAAACTGGGCAGGAACCTGGAGGCAGGAGCAGATACAGAGGCTGTGGAGGGGAGCTGCTTATTGACTTGCTTCCCATGGCTTGCTCAGCCTACCTTCTTTTTTTTATTCATTTATTTATTAAAGATTTCTGTCTCTTCCCCACCGCCGCCTCCCCTTTCCCTCCCCCTCCCCCAATCAAGTCCCCCTCCCTCCTCAGCCCAAAGAGCAATCAGGGTTCCCTGCCCTGTGGGAAGTCCAAGGACCACCCACCTCCATCCAGGTCT